CAGGGGCGAAACCGGTCAAGCCGCCGACGCCCCCGCGTGTGGCGGTGAAGCCCCCGCCGACTCCGCCCCGCCCCGGAAACAAGGGCCAGGCGCAGGCGCCGCCGCCGCCTACGCCTCCGCGGCCGGTGGCAGCGGCGGCCCCGCAGGTGCCTTCGGCGTCGTCTTGGACGCCCTCGAAATCGTCGGGAAGCGCGGCAGAGGTCCGCCAGCTGGCGCTCGCGAAGAAGAAGGAGGAGATCGCCAAGAGGTGTGGCGTGATTCATATTGATAGTGTGAGCCGTAGTACGTGTGTCACGGGTTAGGGTTGGGGTATGTTTGCCGGGGTCTTTTTGCTGGATGAAGCAACCGCACTAGGTCTTTTCTGGCTCAAACCCCATGTGGATGGAGGGTTGGGCTTTTGCGACGCCCCAGCCGCGCAGAAATCCTTTTCGTTAGGAGGCGTGGGGTGAGCTCAGTTCGGACCAACCAGTCATGACTTGATTTCATGATCCAGAACCGTCCGTGATTTGTGAGCTTGAGAATTGAGACTCGTAACCGTCACCACTGGTCATCCGTTACCAACGGCCTGGCCTTACTTCCTTTCCATCTCCCTCCTCCCCCCTGATTCATTCACATGAAACGACCGACACACATCAGGATGGAGGAGATCAGGAACAAGAAGACGAAGGGCACGGCTTCCACGCCATCCCCGGCCCCCGCTGCGGCGACCAAGCCTCCGGCCGCTGCCGCTGCCGCCGCCCCCAAGCCCGTTCCCATCCCCGTGGCTACCCCGGTCAAGTCCGTCCCGGCGGAAACCAAGGAAGAGCGCGAGAGCTACGACGCCTACGATGTCGAGTGAGCATAGCGTCAGTCGCAAGCAGTTCCTTTCGAGTTGCCCCGCACGCATCCCTTTCGATTTCTTGACGGCGTTTGCCGGGAGGTGTGGGATTGGCAGAGTAGTTCGTGCCCCAGGGGCGCTGTGGTGGTCGGCGTTCAGTAGTCCATAAACCATATCGCGTGGATGCCACGTATGTACCGCGTGGTGGTTCTCCGATGGTGCCTAGAGTCATGTGCGGTTGGCGGTCGTTCAGCTCGGAGCTTGTACAGAACGAACGCTATGCTGCCGACTGCGGAAAACCTACATGTTCCTGTTACTCCCCCACCTCACACCACCTCTACAATATCTCATCGAGAACTTGTTTACGTCTTTCCTGTAATGTACCTGTTTTACTGTGAACGTTCTTTCGTCAAGGCCGGAGTCCGGGTCTGAGTCGGGAGAGGAGGAGGAGGAGGCGGCGCAGGAGATCCAAGAGCCGCAGGAGCCCAGCGACAAGTAAGACGCAAACACCGTGGGCATGGGCTTTGTTTAACTGGCCACACAGAAAGTGGTGGGTAACATGTAGGATGACAGACGCGTCACCGAGGTCGACAACCACCACCGCATGCATACTACCTGTTGGAGAGAGAGAGAAGTACGACGTCGAGTTATTGTAGGGGATTCTGTTGCTGGGTTTTGCTTGTGTCAGCGCGCCGTGTTCTTTCCGGAATGCGCAAGTTGGCCTGCGCACGGCTGGATTGTATGTGAACGGGCTTTCTGTAGGTTGTGATCGGGGTGGGCGTGGGATGATCGAGTTGCGTGCGTCCCTTGTGTTTGATTTTGTGCGCCTAGTTTCACGTTAGTGGAAGATAATTGCGGGCGTGAGGTTAATTCGGTACCCTGCCTTCATCATGTGTTCCGCGCCGTCTGCGTTGGCGATCGCACCACTCGCTGTCCTTGTGTCCCGAAAAGGAGCAGCATCGTTCATCTGGCGCACACACAAGTCTCTATGAAACCCGCTTGCCGTTCGCCCTTGTTCTTTGGCTTCCTTGGGGTAGAAAAGCTAGGTCGGTTCCGGCTATTTTTGTTTTTCGTCCGTCCACGCCGCCCTCCTCTTCCTCTCGTGCACGCAAACTCCCCCCCATCGTCTAGCGGCCGGCAGCAATCAATCGTTGTTGTGGTTGATAGCCCTGTTTTCGTCTTTCTCCGCCGTGTGTAGATGCCGTTGTTTCTCCTGATCTCCTGATCGGTCGGTGGCTGTCGCAGTTCTCATCTCTGTAACGACGTAGTGATGTTTTTTCTGTCCTCGTCTGCGACGGCGGCGCACGCCATGCATCATCCGTCCCGTCTTGGCGCCTTTTAGGTCCGCGATTCCTGACTGGGCCCGCGGCAAGGCTCTCGCCAAGATCCTGGACAAGCAGTACGGTGGCCCGAACCCCCTCAACCCGGACAAGATATTCCCGGAGTTCTTCACGTGCAACCTCGAGCACATCTTCAACACCAAGAAGCAGAAGTGGGACCGCAGCAGCAGGTGCGCGCGAAGCTGGTGTTTTGCTGCTGTAGCGGGTGTAGACAAGTTGTGTGGGTTAGGACCGAGGGATGACAGACAGGTGGGTGAGGGAGGGACCACGCAAGCAGCAGTTAGGGCGCTGATGGTATATGCCGCCGTGTTCATGTGCCAGTCTCCCCCCAGACTAAATAGTTGGTCGTCGGCGGGTTCGTCTGATGCGGCGCTTCCACCTGTATGAATCAGGCCAATAGATAAAACTGATGACATGCCTTTTATATTGTATCTTTTCTTTTGTTCTGTTGCATAACTGGCCCTTATAGAAGCCGAAATCAAAGCATAAGACTAGTCAGCTACCCTCTGTGAAGTCGTGTGCGCGAAGGTATCAGTGCAACCTTGTCTCTTATGCTAGGGTATTGCTGCATATTTTCCTTGTGTAGGGTTTGTGCACGTTTCGCGTGTGTGCGTGTTGCATACTGTATTCATCCCGGCCACGCAGCAAGTCGGCCAATCCAACCCTGTCTCGTTTTTATCCCTAGCCGAAACTCATCACCCCACCCCTACCTACCTTGTCGGCGTCGCCTCTCGAATGTTGAATGCTTGTTCTTGTTTTGCAGCGGAAACTGGCACACCGACCGCCTTACCATCGCCGAGAAGCTCGCCTACCAGCGCGCCATGGGCTTCGACAAATAAGAGCAGAGATCTACTGCTAACCCTTTGGATCGAAAGGTTTTTATGTCTTGTGGTTGCACGTAGCCGTACATTTATCTGTGTTTCGAAGGGGGATTATGTTGTCTTGTTTGGGAAGAGTCCTGCCGGCCGCCTTTCTTCGCTAGTAGAGCAGGCGGAGTGACAAGCCTAGATATAGGGGTATAAACACCACCCTTATCCTAGCGCATTGTTCGACCTGCTGAGTTTCAGGGGCGGAGAGAGGGGGGGTGGGGATTCTGTCGTTGGCACGTACCTTGCCGGGGGGATTGTTAAGCGGCCGAGAGAGAGAAAGAGTAATTGAAGGGACCTACGGCAACCCCTATTTGCACGACGCGAGTGCAAATAAGACCGTGCACGACTCGACTTGTGATTGGTCAAAACAGCGCGCGCAGCGTGCGGACCACGTTCTGACGTGCGGGCCACGAACGTGGCGCAGCCGCGTTCGTGGCCAGTCTCGCCACCACGGCCCCGGTTGGACGTCCGTGAGGGTTAGGGTTAGGGTTAGGGTTGGGTTGGGTGGGTTGGATTGGGTCGGTCACGTGTGTGTATAACCCAGTTTCAACCCATCCACGGAGGCGTTTCGAAGCGTGCACGTCTTAGTTGCACGCGCATCGTGCAAATAGGGGTAGCCAGGGACCTACCTGAAAATTGTGGGATCTGCTCTGCTTTGGTCAGCATGTGGGGCGAAGGTCGCCGTCGTAGCTCCTCGATGAAGGGCACTGTGTTTTTTCGTTATGAATGTTGACGCCTTGACACGATCGGGCTAATGGTAGGCCCTTGCGGGGGACGTGGAGTGCAAGATGATGAATGCCGACCGCGGACTATATTGATCGATTAACTGGAGTTTGAGGTGGAAGTTATCCTGTCCTCATTTCGGTTGTGGGTTGGACGAGGCCGTTAGTCGCAGTCGGTATGGGGGCTTCTTGTGCTTCTTGTGGTTAAATCAGTGGGTTGCGGTAGCACGTTGCTAACGTATTCATTCGTGAGAAGCAACAAGGAAAACGTTGTGTATGACTGATCAATTTGTTGCAAGACAGAAGACACATTCGAGGTGCGTGTGAGCAAATTATTTCCTTCACCAAACAAGGAAGAACTCTCATTGTAGTTGCTGTGGCTTGGTTGTCCGAATCGGAAGTGAAGTGGGCGTGCAATCCACAAACCTAGTTTGAATAATAGTTAAAATCAAATCTACGGCGGACGAGGTTCGACGGGATGCGTGCGTGTTGGCGTGCCGGCCGTGAGTGGCGGGGGGCGCGGGCGGGCACGGGCAAGGGTAGTAATGTCAATAGGTAGGATCCGATTTCCATGTGACGGCTTGGTTGACGGTGTGCCTGCCTCGTGGGTTCTTTGCCTTGCCCGGTGGTAGGATATATATATATATATATGAGTGTGTTGACGACCACGGACGGACGTACGTGCGGTTGCAGTGGTTTGTCACGGGAGAGGGTAGTCGAGAAAGGTTAGTTGTTGGGATTAGAAATTAATTCTTTGTTTTGTCTCTTCAAGTTTGGGTCATCCACCATCCATCCTTGTCGTGCTCCTCGCAGTCATTCATCGTTTGTTTACTGATTTGCTTCTTCTTCCTGTGGATAGTAGTAAGAAGTAGCTGTCGGGTGTGGGTGGTGTTGCTGCTGCTGCTGTTTTTATTTTTGCTCTTTTCAACCCGAGCTTAATGATCGTTACAAGAGCGAGCTTTTTAAGTCCTGGGCTGGCTGTCATCAGCAAAAAAATAGTACTGCTGTACTGCTGTAGTAGTAGTAGTAGTCTACAAGAAGAAAATTGAGCACAGCCTTTCTTTCCGGCGAAAATGGTGTGGCTCGCACCAACAACGCGGCAGAGAGGATCGAATTCTCTTGCTTTGTGCACTGAATTAATTTCTATTACAGGCGAGCTGCCCCCACCCCTCCCGTCATGGATGTGCAAGCTGGACGGAATGATGCGCAAGACAAACAAACCCCAGACAATGTTTCCCGAAATTTCATTGAAATCGCCCCTCTTTCTTTGTTTTCGATCAATCAAACAACAACGTGTCATCATCATGCTGGCATGTGTGCTCTCTGTCTGTCGTCAGCCGCACATGACTGACCCTGTAAGGACGCAGTTCAACGATGTACGCATTCTTCCGCCGAATGGAGCATGAGCTTCAGGGCGTCGTCTACGACTCTCCTCATGTACGCATAAGCCGATGCTCTACCAAGCCCACGAAATTACGAAGAAGCTTCTTCTCTGGATCGCAGATCTCCTCTGTGTAGGGGTGACGAGCAGTCGCTCACCATGCACAGGCGTTTTTCACTTGCACGCTTTTCTCCATTTTTTTTTTTTGCTTGCAACGGACCGGCCAGAGCAAGCAGCTCATCTGTCTGCTGCCGAGCACAGCAGTTGCTCTGTCTCTCTCTCTCTCTCCTGAGGGGGGGTTGGTTAAGTCTCCTGCTTCGGCAAGGAGGGCGCGATGTCGTACGAAAGCAGCAGCGGCAGCACCTCCGTGAGCGGTGTGAGCTCTTGGTGGGACTGGATACCCAGCTGGCTCCTCGACTACGATGCATACGAGGAAACGGAAAACGAGGACTTGACGGCGATTGGCATCGTGGCCATGTACACGTCGGCCATGTCCCTCCTGTTCTGGCTCTACTGGACCTGTGAGTGTTGTAGACATTGTCGTAGGGTTTTCCCCGTGTTGCCGGAAGAATCGGTGCGTTGCGAGTCTCTCGCACAGCAATAATCGCAAACATCAAATGCAGTTGTGTACGCGGAGAGATCGCACGTCTGGGGACAATCAGGAACGCACTCAACATCGGGGACTTCGTGTGGGGTCGATCCGGGCGGGAAACCAGTCGACATTGCCCCGCGTCCTGGGTAGTGTGCTGAGATGTTGCACCCAGTTGAGCTCGGTCGGTGCGATGCCCCCGTTCACGTCACCGGCCGATGTATGCAAGCATACCACCACAATATAGTTTGGTATGCATATAAATGTCCTTCAGTCGTACATAGCGGTACACACTCGGCGCGTCTCCCGCCGTCCTCTTATAGGACAAAGTGGGACCGCTGGTGAATAGTCGTTGAGACAACCAGTACAGCAGAGCAGCAGCATATTGTACCGTGTCGTATCATTCGTGGTTTGTATATGTGTGCAGTCTATGTGGGTGATGAGGGTGATCAGCCTGATACGGTGTATACCACCCCCCTCAAAAATTCAACCACCGTCCTCTTCCCTCGCAATATGCGTGTCGCCTGTCTGTGCGCACCGCACGTCTACTTGTTATTCCACAGCCTTCATTAGTTTGCACCAACAACACTCAACAATTTTCATATTCTGTCGTCCGAGGGCATGCATTTCCGAGGAGTACTGCTGTACTGCTGTACTGCTGTACCGTGATGACACTCGTGTTTTTTTTTTCATCGCTCGTGCAGCCGTTCGGGCAACAACAGCAGCGACGAATACATGAGCAAACGAGCGGGGGACGAGGAGGGGCGGCTAGACACGAGTGTTCGGAACGGAAGAGCGCAAACGAACCGCAAAAATATTGTCTTTAGAAACCCCGGGTGTCGGTGGGCTCTACTAGTTGCACAGCTTTTGCGTCCCGTGGTTAACCTGCGCAACTTTTCAACCCGCTACAATAATACAACCAGCCGTTGCTTTGCGACGGGGAATGCCATAGAGCTCGGCGACGTCAGCTCTGCGCTGCGCCTACTCCTGCGGGTCCCGTTCCCGCTCCTCCAGAGCAAGGCTTACACCGGCCGTCTGAACACCGACTGGAACCAAACCTTTCTGCGCAAACATGAGCAGCAGCGGTACAGCTAGCTGTAGTGCGGCGTTTAAGCTTTTTAGAACCAAGGTCCTCACGGGGAGCAGTTGATGTGCGAACAGCAACAAACCATACCCAAGGGCAACAGCAACAACAAGTGCCAACCCCAAGCGGGCTCGCGCCATGAATCGCCTACTTATTATATGCCCCCTCCGCGCCCCCCTCCCGCTGTTGCGACCACGCCTCCCGCCTCTCCAGACAAGCGGTGGAACGACCCCGGGTTCTTTTCTCCCAAGCGAGCGGAGCGGCCGCCGGACCTGCCGGGCCCGCGGGAAGGCCTGTTCGCGTGGGTGTGGGCCCTGTACCGCATCCCGGAGGAGGTGCGGTTCGGTTGGCTCATCGCGCATGCGGTCGGTCTGTGATGGTCGTGGGCGGAGAAGGATCCATGCCCCCTTCTGCGCTGAAGACGGAAACAACCGCAGTTGGTTCGTGGTAGAATCGCTCCGCCCCCCCCCCAGTCGCTCCTCTCTCAAAGGACTTGTCTCCGGCAACTTGTCTCCGGCAACGGTAGGATAGCAGGATGGGCAGCACGTGCGTGACGACGAGCTACACACAGCCAGGCCCTCCACCGCCCCCTTCCCCCCACGCTCACCCGAAAACGCCACCACCCACGGTGCCCCCCAACCCGCCCGAAACCGGAAAAACCCGCGAATTTTTTCTGTTTCCCACAGGAGTTCATCCGCTTTGCGGGTTTCGATGCCCAGATCTACGTGCGCATGTACTCGCTTGCGGGCAAGATGCTGTCCGTGATTGCCCTGTACGCCCTCCCGGTGGTGCTTCCGGTGAACTGCTTGGGCCACTTCGAGACGACGGACAACTTGCTCTCCAAGATGTCCATGAGCAACGTCGGCGTCGACAGCCCTTGGCTGTGAGTGTTGGTGTGGTGCATGCAGACAGATAGACAGATTTGGCGCGCCAATGCTAGGTAGAGACACAGCATATTGAGAGTTGACACACAGATTTGTCAGGCAGATGAATACAACAGGCGGAGATGGGGGTTTGACAGGCACATGAGGTCTGGCGGAAACCGCCAGCGAGCTGGCCCAAAGGCGGCTGCTCTCTTAGAATGCTTTCGTTTGCACGCTAGAGTGATGGTCGTTTTTGCTGCTATAACCCGGAAGTCGGTTGCAATGCACCGAGGGTTATCTTAGCCGTGGAGACTTGCAGAGAGCGGGTTCGCATGCAGAGCCAACGTCTTGATGTACGTATCCATTCACTCGGTGCCCTTTTCTTTTTGTGTTATCTGTTGAATAATTTTGTGTTCGTTTACTCCGCTCAGGCTTTGTTTTAGCATCGTTTCTTGCGGTCTGTGGGAGCACGCGGCTTTTCACCCTTCCACATGGTGACTCTGCCGTCTGCCTACTGGCCATCAAAGCTGGAAGCAGCCTTGACGAGTCCTCGATAATGTTCTTGCGCACATCATTATCACCTGGCTGTCCGTTACACAATAAACACAATCTGTGTCAGCTGGACCAGCACGGTTATTAGAAGGTACCGAGCGGAGACCGGAACGATGTTTAGTGTGCGAAGACAACAACAGCGACAGCAATCAACGACAACAATCTTGCTTTGTCGACGCTGCATTGTTCAGGTGGGTACACGTTACCGGCATCTACGTGGTCACCTTGGTCTGCCTGCTGTTCCTCAAGGCCGAGTTCCGCGCCTACATCCGGCTCAGGCAGCGCTACCTGCAGCAGCGGAAGCCGCACATGCGGACCATCATGCTCGATGTCCCTGCCGACGCTCGCAGCAACGCCATCCTCGAGAGCTACTTCGGTTACCTCTATCCCGACGCTGTGCTCACGGCCGTCTGCACGCAGGTAAACAAGAAAATTGTTCCTTTTTTTTTTTTTTTCGCCTTTTCGGGATATTATATTTTTTGGGCGCACGTACCCGGGGTCATGCTGAAGGAAGAAAGGCCACACGGCAGGAGTTGCCGGACGTAGGGAGTGAAACATGTCGTTGTTTTTGTTTGTGTGGTGTACGGTGATGTGATGGCGGCGATGCCGCCGCCGCGATGCCGCCGCGCTTGTGTTGGTGGAGTCTCTCTCGAAGGGAATATCGCCGTGTGAACCGAACGTGATTCATACCGCCTACCCCCTCAACACCTTGCTCTCCCAGTGCCAACCAGCTGTTTCGGGCGCAGGATATGCACATCTTGTGAGGTCCTCTCAAGCCCAGATAGATACTTACATACGCGCGGCTGGGATCGCTCCCACAAACAGCACAGACCTACCTGGCACACATTAAACACATGACAAAGCAGCACATTCTTCACGGAACCACCGCCACCCCCCCCCCCCCGGCGCGCGCCTTCAGGATCTCCCTGTCTTGGGGGGCCCTTGCAAAAACCAAAATTCGTGCTGACTAAGCTTGTGACGGTG